GAGACAGAGAGAGCGAGTAAAAGAAAGACTTCGGCATAAACTGAATATTTTTGTTATCGCGTGCAGAATGAACCGTTTGACTAAATTTATTTATATTAAATAGTCTTTGAATGATATACGAGATTTATACACTGCAAGAACGATATCTTTCTTAAATGTAGGAAAGTATTCATATCAATCAATCATTGTCTACTCTTCGAAATGTAATCGATGCTTTATCTCGTCAACAACATTATATACCATATCATGATTCAAGTTTAACATATTTATTAAAAAATAGTCTTGGTGGTGATGTTAAAGCATACATGTTTGCAACAATTAGTCCATTATCAACTGTTATTGATGAGATAATAAATATATTAAGATATGCAGAACTTGCTACAGAAATAAATAACGTACCTCAAAAAAAATCTACATTTAATATATGAAATAGATGAATTATGTGAAGAAAATACTCGTCTCAAACAAGAATTATTTCTTGTTAAATCAATACATTCAACTACATCAATAAATAGTAAAACATTATTAACAAATTTTTACAATGGACCGTCAGTATCATCAGAAAAACAAATTGATAATGATGAAAAACTTGATATTGTCTATGAAAAAGTTTGTTTACCGATCAAAGTTATCTTTATATAAAGATAAATACTAACATTATTTGATGACATACAATTGGATAATGATATAACATGACAAACAAGTTCATCAATAATTTATTTTTCTGAAAAAGTAATACAATGAAGCTTTCGACACCATGCATAGGGTCAATTTCAATACTAAAGTTGTATGAAAGAAAATTTTTACATATATAGGAAGAAACAATTAATACTTTTCTTTTTCTATTCTTTTCTTAAATATTGCACAACGATGACGTCACTTCTCCCCTTCGTAGTGTAATGTTTAAGAAAATACTAGAAAAGAATAGAAAAGAAAAAAACAATTGCTTCTTCGTATATATGTAAAAATTTTTTTCATAAAACTTTAGTGTTGGAAATGACCCTATGGAAGGTATCGAAGGCTTCACTGTATTGTATTTTCTGAAAAAAAGAATTAATTGATGAACTTCTTTGTCATGTTATATCATTATTCAATTATATTTCATCAAATAATATTAATACATTAATGTTGTTAGATGTGTATTGAATAACTTCTGTTACTATCCATTCATTCTCTTCCAGATGAATCTCCACATATTACTTTTTTTAGTAAAAAAGTTTCATTTCTTCTATTGCTTGTTTAATATAATAAATTTAGAAAAAAATTTATATTAAGAAATTAGCCAATTTTTTATTTTTGTTTATGTTATTTTTTTTTGGTGATTTGTGTGCTATGGTTGAAGATAGTATTGATACTGATTGAACTGCAGAAGGAGTAGAAGAAACAGCAGATGTTAGAGTCATTGATGTCCAAATAGTTGGATGAAGAAGTGTTGCTGTTGTTGATTCGCATTTTTACTTTCTTTTTTTTCTTTATTATCAAGCCATCGACGTCGTAGTGATGGTAGAAAAAATAAAAAAATAAAAAAGTAATTGTAGTTAAAAGAACAATACAAAATACAGCTAAAATTGTGTTTGTTAATATAAGACTTCCAAATGTATATTGATTAACCATATTAGAATAGATTAAAAGATAGAAGTATAATAATTATTTAAATATATACAGAATATTTATTCTATGAACTACTTGAATATGTCAATTTTTAATCTGGTTCAATTGATTTATCGAAGATCTTATTAGTTATAATTTCTCTACATTATTTTAATGGTAATATCGATTTTTAATGTTCAAAAAATTAGGATCAATTCATATGTAAATATCATTATAATGAATATTTACACAAATAATGATATATAAAAACGAGAGGTTATATTTTATTTTTATAAAAATAGCTCTCTATCAATATTTTATAATAGAATATTACATATTTTAAAGATGAAAAATGAAACTAAATCGCATTGAATCATTATAATTATTTTATTGAGCTATATAATATTAAAGAACAATATAACTATATATGTTTATTAGATCTGATAAAACTATAAATTAATAACAATTATATTTGCCAATGAACATAACAACACTTCACAATGTCTTGTAAATTCGAGTTTTCTGACAATTTCACAATCCAAATATTTGCGAATCAGTTAATTGTACAATCATAGAAATTATTAATAAGTGCTAACTATCATAATACACTTATATTTATATAAAAAACTTTATATTTGACGAATTATTAAAAAGAGAACAAAGAAATACACTGTATTTTTATCGTTTGTAACTATACTAATATAATCTTCTTTTTTTTCGGTATATTTAATGATACGTTAATTTCAAAATATTTTTTGGCATTCTCAAATAAAACTACTCTTATTTGTTTTCTGTTAGTTAAAATCTACTATTTCTTCTAATGAATTCATCTCTCTATTTTCTTCATACTTGTTTAATTTTCTTTTTTTCATATTTTGATTTATCTTCAAATTATCTTTTGCTGATCTACGTTGATAAGTAGCATCTCATCAAATTGTATCATTCATTTCTTCTCACTTACATGTCTTAGATTCCTATATAGATAAGATAATACTTAATTAAATCTTGACAAAAACTATATTCATTACTTTAGCAGCATTTTCTTTTCATGTAAAACAATGAAAATATATCAGACCTTGTTTCTTTCATTATAAATAATTTATTACCATTTGAGTTATTCAAAGTTAAAGTTTTCATCATAGTTACAAACATTTTAGTCAAATTATATTCACTAAATGATTATTTGTTGTTAGAAAAGAAAAACTATTTTCCTAATTTTTTTTTGTCAACAATAAGATAGTCACAGAATGATAAACAATACATTCTTATTGTAGTAATATTATACTTATCTCAGACTTGTTTTATCATTCAAAAACTTTGTTTAAAAGATCAAAACTAAATTAACATACACGATAGTGTTCACAAAAAAACCGGTTGTTCTTGCTAATAATGTAATTTATCGAAAGTAAAACAGAAAATATATACCATCGTTTGTGTTTTCATCTTACGAATTTTAATTTATAAAAGTCAGTCTATTAAATATTCAGTTGTACATAGGAATGAGAAGTTATTGTTATTTTTCTGTTATAAATAACAATAACTATAACGAAAAAGACTATAGTTACAAATAACAATAACGATTTTTGTTATTTGTTATTTATAAAAATAACCTTTTTACGATAGTTTTTTATTTGTTATTTATCTGTTATTTAAAACAAATAACAAAAAAAGTTATTGTTATTTATAACAATAACAATAAATTCTCACCCCTAGCTGTACATGCATCAATAACAGATTATCATTGAGAATCTCTGAATTAATACAAACATTCCATAATATTGATTGAAATACACAATCTTTATAAGTTTTCACTACATTAAATAATTACCATTAGAATGTCCTTTTTTTGACTTCCAGTGAAGGGCAACATTTCAATTACATTACAAGATGCTTTGTCGATGAATTTTTTCTCCAAAAATAGAAAAAAGCGTTTATTGTAATTATAGTATTTTATTTTTCTGTTAGTTAGAAAAAAGAAAGCTGTTCTAGGGAGCCATAAGTTGAAATATTTTTCTTAAAGTTGTTTGAAAAACAACTGGAAAACATGGTCATCTCGACCAATCAGAAAATGTTTTTCTGACAAAAAAATACTGAAACTATTTTTTTCTCTATTTTTAAAAATACTCTCTGCTAGTCTGTATAAAATGAGTAGCTCTTTACACTGTTGACTGTTAGTTTGAAAGAATACATCGACTTCAAACAATAACATTTGTTCATGTAACATTTGAACACAATAATTATTTTAGAATCTATTATTTCTTATCCAAAACTTCAATCCATAAATCGATCAAAGGTAAAGTTTTAGTATATAGATAACGTTATAAACTATTCTACATTTATCGCCTAGATACGATATATATTTGATTGATATAATAATACAGTTTAGGTTTTGTTTAGTAATGCGAAAACAATAGTCGCTACTTCTAACATATCAATATTTATCTCATTATAATTTATTCATCTTCTAGTTACATATAGATATAGATTTCAATACTATTCTTGATTATCTATCAATATGGATGAATATGAATTTGATTCGATAAAATATAGATGTAATATTTTCATTCATATTGTCATATTGTCATATACTCACACTAGTCCTTTAAACTATTCTATAGATACTATCACATCATCATTGATACATATATGCTTTACAGAGAGCTATAAGAGTTCATGATGGAAGTGAGTTACAAAGTAATTAAAAACTTGCATAGATTATGTATAAATTGTTTTCTTTCTCGTACAGAAGAATCTTGCAAGAATAAATTGTTTCCTTGCTTGCTTCTATATCCGCACCTCTTTAATTGGTTCAAATAATTAATTTAAGATATAAAAGGAATTTTTTTATACAGATCAACGAAAAAGTAATCAAAATGGAGAAACTTGAATCCGGCGTTGGATTAAAAACTTTTTTCGAATCAATTATTTTCACACCGACAACGCTTTTCTAAACAAAACACTTTTTATACCGCTGACTAAATTGTAATCGTAGTCCACGAATTCAAAACTGATATCTCTTTTGTTTAATTATACACATCAACATCCTGTCTGTTGCTCAGCAACACCATTTCTACGAGAAAAACCTCGGTGAGTCCTTCGACGAACATTATTCTTTAACTCATACAGAAATATATTATACGCACAAATACATCTATGTAATAACAGAATGTTTTAAAAACTAGCTTGACGCGCTACTACGAAGACCAAGGATAAAGTAGACAGCACCAGGATTTAGTACATAGTCCTACGCTCCACTAGATAACCCTAGAATCTAGTAGCTAGTACACGGCTCTAGTGAGGAGTACTCGAACTTAGTGGCGACTACTGAAATTCAGAAAGGACTACCAGGGTTTAGCACAAAATACAAGGGTCTAACAGGGAGTGCTAGGAACTAGCATTAGTAGTACTACGGTCTAGTAGTAAAACTAGGGTCTAGTGGTAGGACTCGGGTCTAGTA